TCTCTAAGTTACTTGGTATTTCGATTCAATCACTCAAACATGGCGCTTTCTCATTTGACCAGTCATTCAAAATTATTTTCAGTATTTTTCAGCTTAAATACCTAAATTGGCGCACGCACAAAGCAGCTAATATAATACTATTCTTAACATTTTCACGTTTCAGCTGTTCCCCTGGTATTTTCTTTAGGGCGCGGCAATTAATTGGTTATCCTAACAATTAATCGATGAATACTTTAATTGCGATTAAGTTTTAGAGTGTTTAATCGTATAAGCATGACACAAGGTGAGCTAAAACAACTAAAAACTTTACTATTACTTCTTTTTCACCGCCGTGCTTTTCATCTTCGAAACGCAAACGTTATCCTCTTCGTCAGCAGAATACTCACCAAATAAAATATATATATATATATATATATATATATATATATACGATTATTCATGGCTATTCAAGGTCACGATTGTTCAATTCACGAGAAGCCCATTAGGTTTTCTACGCGTCCGGTGACATACTGGTTCGCGGCCTCCAGCACAGGGAGGAGCTCCTGAAGGACAGCAGGTTGCGGCAAGGCGGAGATCATTCATCTTGTTAGTGCAATTAATGCAAAGGTACAGCGAGCTGGACAAGACTAATGATGTTTGTCCTATGTCCCTCCCGTTCTCCTTCTCCAGGGATTATCAATGTTTCATTACTCTGCCTGTGCACCTGGTTTAGTGCTTTCCTCCTCGGCAGGCGCTCTAGAAACGGTGGACCAGATCATCCTTAGTTCACTCTACTGCAGCAAGGATGATTGTGAAGAAGCGGTAAGCTCGCTCATATCGGAAAATACTAAAAAAAAAACACACTTTTTCTGCTATCACGGTGGAATGATTATCTTTGAGGCGGGGTGCTCAACTGCAAACGTTTATTTACAGGTGAAGACGCCTGTTGCATTGTTTATCGTAGAAAGAAAAAAACATGAAACAAAAAATGTGCCGTTTCCTTTTTTAACGGTTGTATGCCTGGAAATTAACGCGACGAAATAATCGATCAACTATTGCCGCCTCAGTGGCTCCGAGGCGAGAACGCTGGCCTCCGGATCCCCAATGTGGCGGGTTCGAATCCCGGCGGATGTGCCCGGAATCTGACGGAGGCTTATTGCGGAGAATGCGCCGTGGTAACCGAGCTTTTGGTTGCACGTCAAAAGATCTCCAGGTGGTCCAAATTAGTCCTCAGTCCTCCGCTAAGGCTTGCCAGATGCCCGTCGTTGGTTTGGCACGTAAAACCCCAAATTTGTCGATGAACTAATCGACTAAACAGTGCCGATTAGTCGGGTTAATGCTTGTGCGATCTTTTTTTTTTTTTTTTTTTTTACTTTAGAAAGACATTAGTGCAGAAGCATATTGTAATTCTGAGCTAATACTAGCGCACAGTTATAAAGCACCCTAAAAAGTATACATACGTATTTTATTTAACTGATAGTATAGAGTTATAATGTTGTTGTTGTCGGTTTTCTTTTCTTTCGCTGTGTGTATTTTAAATTGAGTCGGCGCATTGTACGCGCTTCTAGAACAAGAATACGCCAAAACTGGATTAAACGGACATATTGGACGTGCATACATCAGTTGCTGAAAGTATACTGGTCCATGCTAAAACGTGCTGTAAGAGTGCATGCGTCATAAAAACAGTGCGAATGAAGCAGAATTTTGCTGCAATGTTTTTTTGCCAAACGAGGTGTCTTAGAGTCGTTCACAGTTTAAGAAACCCGAGGTGTGGCTCGTAATGTTAACGCCTCTTGATTCGTAATTCGTTATTCGGTGTTCTTATCGGCTCATGACGCAATCTTAGACCTTCAACAAAAAATACCGGTGGCTTGGCTCGGCTATGCCAGGATATACGTAGCGTGAGCTTATGCACACAAAATGAGAGGCGCTATCAGGCGGCTCCGGTGCAGCGTCAGGCTTGGCTACTGCGCAACGGAGGTGCACAGCTGGGCACGCGGCGGCGCCAGTGCGTCTCCCACGGCTATGACGTCACTCCTCTAGAATGCGCTAACCGGCGAGGCGGACGTGGCTTCGGCGCGCCAGCTGTGTGCCGTGTGACGTCACTGTTCTTCGCGCATGCGCAGCACGGAGCACGGCTCAAATTATGCGAGCCACGCGAAACTGCCCAACTTCGGCCACTGTAGTTCACGCTACAAAACGATTAGTGGGTGTCTCCACGTCAGATCGTGCAATAATGGTCCAGGGCCGATTCTTTTTGTAATTGTTGTGTAAACAAACAAACAAAAAAGACTTTCGTAAAAGTTGTGTTTTTGGGCTTTACGCGAACGTCGCGGCTAAGTTTCTTCCGGAGATATAAAATTTTGAAGCTCGAGGCGCGGAGGTTGCCGATGTTTCGATTTAACTAATTTGCAAAGCCGTCCATTTTGCACCGAAGCATGCACGTAGTACTACATTTTTCTACTTATCTTAGAAAATGTTCACGACGTGTACCCAGAACATTAAAAACTGCAATGAAATGTATATTTTTTATGCAAACAACAAAACTTACGATACACGGCAAATATAATCATTTTGGAGACATTCATAAGTTATTTACCAACGAACTACTTCCTAAATAACAACGTGAAATGTATCAATATAATTGTCTTTAAATGGTCTTCCGAATATATAAGAAAAATATTCTTAGCCATTATTGTAGTTATGTTATTAATGCAGAAACGCGGCTCATTTCTCCAGATGTTGCGAAATTGCACGTCAATATTAAAAAAAATAATCTCCACTTTAAACTTTTCCTAATCATTTAAGGTGGCTTGAACTAACTTGTGACGGCAAAATAAATTTGAATTAAAGATATAGTGTGCATAACTAAAAGCAATTATATCCATCAATATTACAAAAGATATAAGGCATGTGCGGCCTTTTTTATGGTGCCCGGCTAATTCCACTCAATTGTCATATGTTTTGAAAAGGGGGTCTAAGGGGACAACGCAAGCCAACAAAAACAAAAAAGCTAAACTAGGACGCCATAACTTTTTTACACCCTACGATAGAGTACCACCGCTCTTAGCCTTTGTCGGTTCTGGAAAACGTTTCGTTGGAGCCCCTGAGCGAAGACAAGCTAGCTTAATTTGAGAGAAAGTTCGTGGTCGTTTTCCACCTTAAAGAGGTCATATCTTACTGAATGTTTGCCATCACAAGTTGGTTCAGTTCGCTGTAAACGGTTCAGGAGAGTTTAAAGAGAAAAAAATATATAGATTGACAGGCAGTTTTGGCATATCTAGAGAAGTAAGCTGCGTTTCGGCATTAACAACAGAACAACAATAATAGGTAAAAAAAAATTTCTTATATATTGATCAAATGCATTTTAAGATAATTATATCGATATATATATTTCGTTCTGTTATATGATGTAGATCGTTCGTCAATCATTTGTGAATGTGTCTTTAAAACATCTTTATTTGACATGTTTCGTAACTTTTGTAGTAATATTTTATTGTAATATTTAATATCTTCTCTACATGTCGTAAACCTATTAAAAATAAGTGGAAAAAATATTACCATGAGCATTTTTAGGTGTGAAGTTGACAGCTGTGGAAAATGTCACTCGAAATCTCGCCAATCTCCACAGCTCGAGCTTTAAAGATTTTATCCCCGAAAGATAATTAGCTACGGCTTTCACATATAGCTGAGTGCTCCTCCCGGGATAATTGCTTTAACATATATTTTTACATAACTATATAAATATATGACCCGGATTATCATTGGATGATCTGACCCTGCGAAGGTAGCCACGTATTATTCCTGCTCTAGTGCCTGTTTGCGTAAGCCCTTCAGCTTTGAATCAACAGGACCAAATTTCAATGTGGACCTCAGTTTGAGTTACCTCCAGTAATGTTTGGAGGTGGGCTAGTCGGTGATGCATTGTAAACATAGAAATAAAACAGCGCAAACAAACACAAGGACAAGTAGAAGGAGGGACACAGACACAGCGCTGACTCACGACTTACTTTCTTTCTCATCTTTTTAAAACATTTCAACATAAGAAAACAAGAAATGAAAAATAAAAGAAGAAGAATCCAGCATGTAGGATATCCTCTCTGTCATATGCCATCTGAGGAATTTTTTTACACAAACTATACATTATATACCATTACAAAAAAAACCAAATTAAAAAAAGCCAAAAACCACAGCGCGAGCCCTAATGTTCTGTGCGTACCTGTCTTGCACGCGGACTCTTGGTATGTCGGAACCCTTTCCTGGCTGCATGTAGGCACGCGCCTGTGGTGATAGGATCACTCCCATGGAAGCAGAAAGAAAGTGTTAAAGAGACGTGCCTAAACTCCGAAGAAACTCGAACTCTTCACTGTATAACGTCACTGACTCTGAACTGACGCATAGATCGGGACCGTGTTGTCGAATGTAAAACGCTTCATGAATTTCCCTTGCCATTTTTTGGCAAGGGAAGTTCAGAGTCAGTGACGTTATACAGTGAAGAGTTCGAGTTTCTTCGGAGTTTAGGCACGTCTCTTTAACACTTTCTTTCTGCTTCCATGGGAGTGATCCTATAACCACAGGCGCGTGCCTACATGCAGCCAGGAAAGGGTTCCGACATACCCTGCAATCCGCGTGCAAGACAGGTACGCACAGAGCATTAGGGCTCGCGCTGTGGTTTTTGGCTTTTCTTAATTTGTTTTTTTTGTTGTAATGGTATATAATGTTTAGTTTGTGTAAAAAATTCCTCAGATGGCATATGACAGAGAGGATATCCTACATGCTGGATTCTTCTTCTTTTATTTTTCATTTCTTGTTTTCTTATGTTGAAATGTTTTAAAAAGATGAGAAAGAAAGTAAGTCGTGAGTCAGCGCTGTGTCTGTGTCCCTCCTTCTACTTGTCCTTGTGTTTGTTTGCGCTGTTTTATTTCTAGAGTTACCTCCCGTTTGGCGCTTAGGCACCAATGGTGCCTAAGCGCCATTGGTGCCTATGACAATGGTGCAGTTGCGAGAACACTTTATTTTTTTCAGTTTCGAGGTACGAAGCGCAATTTCTGCTCTGGAAAAACGTTGAGCGCAGTCGGCTGGATGGCCAGACTTATGGTACGTCCTTCTTCGGGGAGGATATTGAATCTCTGCAGAAGCGTTGTCACGTAGATGAAGATTTCGATGGTTGCCATTATTTCTCCGGGACACATTCGTTTCCCTAGAGGGGGCCAAATAAAACCGCGATAATGCAGAACGAAGGAAGGTTAGCCATTAAAATCACACTCACGCCCTTAAAACCCTAAATTATGCAAACGTGCTTTTTGCAGAGCCATAGCCATCGTGATTGAAACGTACAGCGCAAACAGACGGAACAGACGAGAAAATACATACAATTGCTAACTTACAACTGAAGTTTAATCGTCAGGGCGCAAACCTATGTACGGCGACCAAACGATTAAGGAAGAGCACACACGTACCCCATGACACAGCGATTGTGTGTTTCCTCTGTTCTCTTCCGTCTGTTTGCGATGTACGTCTTAATCATCATGCCTTGCCAGCACGCCCAAGCTTCCATTTTGAACATAGCCATCGATCCACTCGCATCTACCCATTCTACAACAAAACTACAGTGTCCATTATGATGCCTGACCATAGTCATAATCTTGTCAATAACCCAAGATAAAAAGATTAGACTACAAATGTAGGGAGTTTTCACGAGATGTCAACCAGCCATTTGGTTCTTAGTCTGTTTATTGTTGTTTTTTTTCAAACAAATTGACTAATTTGAAGGATCACATGGCAACCTGTTGAGGAGATGTCAGCGTGATAAGACTTAAAACCTTCTGTACTTTGCGTGTTCGAGGGGTCATGAAAATCCTTGGAACACTCACCTTCGGCACACACCAGACTGCTCACAAGAACAAAATGGCGGACAAAATTACGTCAGTGAAAACGCCCTATAGACCAACACGCGGCCCTGACGTCACGCAGCTGCGGTGGCGCTGTCGACGGCACTGCGCATGCGCAGACGCTTCACTTCACGGGAATTCGGTTTCTGCGCACGCGCAATGCTGACACCTTGTGCATGTGGGCAAACGCGGGCTTGTTGGTAAACAGCGTGTAGATCTATACTCCTCTTTTCCATTTTAGAATGCAAGTATTCAAAGAATATACGCAAAGTTTAACGTCGGCAATTGAACATGTTGGTGTAAAAATTCCAAAAACATAAAGGGATATTGAAAGATGTGTCGTATGTATTGTGTTCTATGTCCCTCTTGCAATGTTAGTATACTATGTTTTACCAAAATAAGTATGCCGTATTTTACCCCTGATTCTGATATCTTCTATGGCATTTTAGTACATAAATGTATTGAATACCAAAAATATGTTTTCCATTATTCTCTCTAAACGTTTTTAGCTTTAAAGTATTAGGAAAACAAAAGTTATATTTTGTTTTCCGAAGATGCTTTTTTGGTGAATTTTCCCAAAGGTGTACCAAAGGTTACTTTTTCCAAATGTGTATTTTCCCACGGGTTCAGTCTCTCACACTGGAAATGACGCTAAAACTTTATATTTTCAAAGGCGGACACCGACGCGCATGGCCATTTACCGTGAGTACCTTAAGTTGACTCACGGTTGTACTTGAAGCGTCATCTCCCGACAGGCGCAGCAAGCAGACAAAGGCTCTCGGGTGAAAGCGTGCGACGTTTTCTTCTGCTTGCTTAGTCTTTCGGGAGATGGCGCAACATGCACAACCTTCGATTCACGGCCGATTCACATGGTGCGATTTTGATTGCAAATTCGCAGCTGCGACGTCGGACACCGCAGACTCCACCACTCTCTTTTCGCCGAAAGAGGGATGTCGCAACTGTGAAATCGCAAGTATAAAGTCACACCATGTGTGCCGGGCGTTACACAGTCGTCTGCGTCAGCGTCCGCCGTTGAAGACGTCAAGAGTGTTGATCTTATTTTTCGCACAAAGAGAGCTACACTGTGAAGTTTTGCGAGGTGAAATGTACCACAAGAACTTGGGGGACGCTGCAGCTTCGCCTTTAAGAGTGAAACGCGATAGCGTCATCGGGCCCCGTTCCCCAAAGCCTTCTCATATGAACCCACGCTCTTTCCCAAGCCTTGCAAGCGTGTCTGTGTGGCCTAATTGGAAGCGTCAGGTGTCATGGGACGTGACGGTTGATATCACATGCGTCACGTCACGTGTGACGTCGTGTGACGTCACGTGTGACGTCACATGTTAAGTTGCACGTGACGTCACGTGGGACGTCACAAGAGCCAGGTGACCCGCTTCCTGCTAAATGTGGCGGAAACATTTTCCTTTTTCCGCCAAATTTAGCGGGTCGATAGGGTCATAACGTTACAGCCACGTGTGACGAAACACACGGGACGTCACCACAGCCACGTGTGACGTCACACGCGTGACGTCATATGTAATTCCACACGTGACATCACACGTGGCTGTGACGTCATGACGTTATCATCCAATCATAATTTTCCGGTCCCACCGACGACGCCGCCGGATGTTGTGCGACAGGAGCACCTTAACGCTGCCGCGTTAGAAGTGAACCTTAGGAGGAAGTTGAAAGACGCTTCAGACAAGCGCCACTTTATGCGGAAGTTCTGATGCGACTCTATAATCGGTGGCGGATTCGAATGCCGCCCGAAATGCCCGCAAGCTGCCGGAGGTTTATTGCAGAGAAGACGCCGTCGGGGGGGGGGGGGGGGGGGGGGGGGGGGGGGGGGGGGGTAATTGAGCTTTTGGTTGGTTGCACGTAAAAAGATTATTATTATAATGCAATTAAATGCAAAGGTGCAAGCGAGCTGGACAAGAATGACGAAATTAATCCCTGGAGAAGAGGAACAAGAGGGACAAAGGACAAACATAAATCTCCAAACACAGCTAGGTGACTGGTGAGCGACCGAAAAAATCCGCCTGGTCCGGGGATCGAGCCCGGAACCTCTCCATTACAGGTGGAGCGCTCTACCAACTGAGCTAACCAGGGGTTAGACGTCAGTAGAGCAAACGGGTTTTATCAGCTGCCACCAGTCGAACACCAACAAGGGTGAAGCTTGCAATTTAAAGTTATTATTATAATGCAATTAAATGCAAAGGTGCAAGCGAGCTGGACAAGAATGACGAAATTAATCCCTGGAGAAGGGGAACAAGAGGGACAAAGGACAAACATAAATCTCCAAACACAGCTAGGTGACTGGTGAGCGACCGAAAATGTTTGTCCTTTGTCCCTCTTGTTCCCCTTCTCCAGGGATTAATTTCGTCATTCTTGTCCAGCTCGCTTGCACCTTTGCATTTAATTGCAGTATAATAATAACTTTAAATTGCAAGCTTCACCCTTGTTGGTGTTCGACTGGTGGCAGCTGATAAAACCCGTTTGCTCTACTGACGTCTAACCCCTGGTTAGCTCAGTTGGTAGAGCGCTCCACTTGTAATGGAGAGGTTCCGGGTTCGATCCCCGGACCAGGCGGATTTTTTCGGTCGCTCACCAGTCACCTAGCTGTGTTTGGAGATTTATGTTTGTCCTTTGTCCCTCTTGTTCCCCTTCTCCAGGGATTAATTTCGTCATTCTTGTCCAGCTCGCTTGCACCTTTGCATTTAATTGCATTATAATATTAACTTTAAATTGCAAGCTTCACCCTTGTTGGTGTTCGACTGGTGGCAGCTGATAAAACCCGTTTGCTCTACTGACGTCTAACCCCTGGTTAGCTCAGTTGGTAGAGCGCTCCACTTGTAATGGAGAGGTTCCGGGTTCGATCCCCGGACCAGGCGGATTTTTTCGGTCGCTCACCAGTCACCTAGCTGTGTTTGGAGATTTATGTTTGTCCTTTGTCCCTCTTGTTCCCCTTCTCCAGGGATTAATTTCGTCGTAAAAAGATCCCCGGGTAGTCGAAATTAATTCTCAGTACTCCGCTGGAGCGTGCCACAAGCCCCATTGGTTTGGCACGTAAAACCCTCGAATTTTTTCGAGTCTATAAACATAACACCCTATACTTGTTTGTGTACGTTTTTGTTTTTGTATTCTTTGACTTCCATCAGCGCATAGTACGCCAAGCAACTAAAAACTGTTCTTAAATATATCTTAATACGCCCCCAATTTATACTCTGCAGTCCAAAAAGAGGTAACGTATTTCTGCCCAAATAAAATAATTATCTGTCCCACCCCTAATTTGTCTGCATAGCATTTTTAATGGCCAAGTCGTACTATAGAGTGACGAACCGTAGAAACCGTCAAGCCTCGAGGTTGTGCAGCATGCACGCAAAGGTACCTTTGGGGACTTAGGGTCACTTCGTGTTCGTGAGATAAGTACGAGTGATCGCAAGTTCATCAAAGATGTCTTCGCGTGCACACGTGTTTGAAGCTTGTCGACGTCGGTTGTTTCTGTTTCTCGCTCTAGTGAGAGTCGGGCCAAAGTACTCTGCGAAGAAAACAAATTTCGGATGGGGCAGATAGCTCCAGCAATCAAGCTTGTTCGATGCCGTGTGTATATAAAAAAGAGTAAGTGAGGCTTACCAATTGTGAAGGGAATTAGATACTCGGGTTTGGTCACCAGCGAACCATCACTTTTGAGAAACCTGGATGGATCGAACACTTCCGGATTTTTCCACAACTCAGGGCTGTTGTGAACTGCCCATAAATTGGGCATCACGGTGGTTCCTTTGGGAATGAAGTAGTCTCCGAAGAATGTTTCTTCACCAGCCCTGGGAACAAAGGAATATAGTTTGTTCAATTTATTTATCCGCGAACAAAAGCATGGTCTTTTGTGTTAACGCTTCTCAATTCATGATTGGTTCCGCGGTGTTCACACCTGTCGATGCCGCACTCTGAATGACTGCAGAGACATAGTAAGATGTTCGAAGTTTGCCACGCGCTGTGTTTCTTAAACTCTCCATGACGATAGTGCGATCGCGTGTGCTTTTTACCTTCCTTACGTGATTCTCCTATGTGAAAATGCTTAGCCCGAGACGGTAGTTGACTTGGATCACTCGCCCATGTTTGTCACCGTTATCCGCGGTAAGACTGAAGAACACCCTCGTTTTCTCGCAAATTCCCCACGAAAGTTTCTGGTTTCCTGTCCGTGTGTACCCTCTTTCCGGGCATTCGATGTAGGGCCAGCAAATTTTGACTGAAAACAACGTTATTTTCTTAGTCATTGTGCATGAGGTTTTGACTTCGGCAATCGTTTTTGCCAAATTTTTTTGTTGTCTCTTGTTTTACCTTACTCTCGACATTTTTCATAACAATTTTCAAAGTTAACCAGCCGGCTCCCGCACATACTATCTATTTGTTCAAAAGGGTTTTCCTGTAAAGATGCTCATAGCCTTTGGTTCCGGGACATATTGCTTCACATGCTGACTAATAAAACAACACAAATGTTTGTTTTTAGGGGCAAAGCTCCTTAGGGCTTAGCCTTGTCCGTCCGGCGTCCGTGCTCACATTGATTGCCGTCCCATTTGTCTTCTTAAAAAAAATTAAACAAATGTTTGCACAGTCGACGGGATTCGAACCTTTACGAGGAGACCCCAATGGATTTCTAGTCCATCGCCTTAACCACTCGGCCACGACTGCGGGACGAGTAGGGGGCTCTGAGATGTGGTAGTAACTCAAGAGCTGGGGATGTCATCGATGAAACGTTGCATGTAGCCGCTCAACGTCTATACAGGAGAGGGTGCTGCGGTGAAATGCGTATATAATCGCGTTAAACTTTGCTTCCATTAACTCAACGTTTATAGACGAGGGGGTGCTGCGGCCAAATGCTCAAATGGGTATATAACCTCGTTCCATACTGCACATTCTCTTTCTCACATGGGTCAGGTAGTGCCACTTTATCGCGGAACTAAAGAGACCTCCTCTTTCTCGTATCATCAGCACCCCCAGAGCTTCGCCCCAATCAACATCATTCACCACGTGGAGATGCGGTCTTCTTTTTTTTTTAATGTTTTATCTGTAATATTGCTTCATAACTGGTATAGCTTTAACAGATATGAAATTTTGCACACGTGTACTTCAGGAAAATCGAGACTGTCGTTTTTGAAATACTTCACGGTTATCTGTCTCAACGCTTAATACCCGCAGGCAGCGATGTTCGTTCCACCATGAACAAGCTGATTCACATTGTCAGCTCTGAGGCAGCCATTTTGCGCCCCCCTCCCCCCCCCCCCCCCCCCCCGCACCCCCCCGTGGGGGCATCGAAGGCCAAAGCAACACTGATGGTTTCGGCTTTTTTTCTCATACCCAGCGTAAACCAACGTAATTTGCGCTCACCACGCGGGAGTGGCGCTACTCTAGCGGGCTCCGCTTACGGCTAGATTAGCGCGTCGATTACCCTACTCACGGAAGGTAGGGTGATGAACGTCAATGGCGTTCTTTGCCATCTTAGTTTCGGTTCGAGGACGGACATTTCTCGTCCAATAACGCCCACTACAAATTTATAATAAAACGTTAGACCAAAGCTAGACCACTTAGAGATTGAGCGTCAGTTTGCCACATCAATTCTTCCCCCAAAAGTGTAATTTAATAAAGTTATATTCAAACAAATTACTTCGTTAGCTGCCTAAACAAGTTTTCTTTCTGTAAAAATGAAGGACCGACTAACAAAATTAGCAGTCATGCGTGAATCCACTGTACAGTATTGGTGATGGCTGAGACATCTTCTGAACATTGATGCATCCTTTTGTGTTTTGCACCTTGCGTGAAGGAAGAATCGAAAATGTCTGCTCGAAAAGCGACGCCCACATTTATAACTAGGAAACTATTTAGACAGATGGTGTCACACTCTCACGCAAGAGTGTACTGTCATGTGACACCATAATTTCACATGATAGCGTGACGTTTCGCGACACCTTGTCGTCACGGGACGATAGCGACGACGAACGCTCTTCACCATTTCGAGTAGGGGGGAACAGCCCATAACAGCTATAGATGCAAAACAACCTTTTTATCTCCGATCGTAACAAGACGTTAATGAGATGCAAACAAACGTACGTGAAACACTTACTCTCTTGGCACCCCGAGCGGTGAGTTGGTTCGCCAGCGGAATATCTCCCAGATCGTAGCCATAGTGTAGGGCATCTTGCATCGGTCTTCCCAGCAGGGCTGTCGATCCACGCCTACCACGTGATCAATTTCTCGCTGGATCATCATCTGAACTGTGTCTGGGTTTTTGGCTAGGTTGAACAGGTGCCACTGGATGGCAACTCGAACGGTGTTGGAACCGGCAACGAGGAAACTGAGAACGTTTCCCTCGAGGAATGGCACTGTAAACAAAAAAGATATAAATAATGAGATGCAAACGTCACCAGTTTAACTACCGTAAAATACCGTGAATGCGACTACTTTGTTCAAATGCCCGCTATTAACATTTAGCAAACTTGGGAATTTTACCGGAGAAGCATCTATTCCTAGATTAACCAACTTTTCAGTGAAAGTGGGGTAGGAACTGCCCCGGTACTTTATGGGTGTGGCATTTGGAAGGCGTCTCTGATGGGTGTGTTTACCGCTTACTGAAAAGTGTTGCCTACACTTCCTTGCGATGGTGTCATAGAACTGCTTCGTTGTCGCCAGCCGCTATTCTGATGATGTCGCGGGAGTGGTTGTGGACGTGGCAGGCACCTGTTCGGCTGCAGGTCGCTCTGCAGCGTGACAGTCCATGAAAGCTTCAGCGGTCGAGAGTTGGTACTCCGCGATGATAGCGACACTCGCAGTTTGCGGCATACGACAACGCCACACGCCGGTTTCTGTGACGTCATTTGTTGCCACTTCGGGACAATTTTTGATGCATAGACGAAAAAGGCCGCTGAACACACCAGTCGAAGACAATCTCTATAGGCACCGTATGTCTTAAAAAGACGCGCCAGGGAAACCAAAACATATATAATATACGATAACTAAATTCAAATTTTAAAGTGTATGGTGCTCGGTCTCCTTTTCGCAGATATTGTGTTAGTTTTGATATAACTTGTTTTTCCATGTTCTAAGTGCAGTGCACGCGCCATAAAAAAGAAACAAAAAAAAAACATGTTCTTGCTTGCATCAGGGGCATCGCAGAACACTTAAAAGAGCCTAGTAAAATAGGCTAATTCGATCATTTTAAAGCACTGAGTGCAATGTACAACTCAAATGTTGTGTTGGGGACCGCTGCGAGGTTGTGCGCCCTACTCCGATGTGTTTGAACCTCGCCAAGCACAACCCAAACTTGGAAGCTTCGCCAGTAGTGTGCTCGAACTTTCGTCACTGTTCGCATTTCATTCGAACCCGATGGTAGATGACATGGTCAACGTAGTAAATAGGGGCACAGTAACGTAACACACACGATGAAGAGGTGTGGAATATGGGCTCATTAAGCATAACCACTTTCAAAGGATTACGGAAGCATACGAGGCGCGTTTTCGAGTTCTTAATTTTTAATTGTTATTTTGATTTGAATAATCAAACCAATCACTGAGATGTTTTGTTTCATTCTGAAGAAGAGAAATGTGTTTTTAATATTTATATGGCGTGATAATAGTACAGCGTATCGTCAGCATATTGGTAAAGTTTACAGCTGGTAAAGTTTACGGCTTTTATGTTTACAGCTGGTAAAGTCTACATGTATATTCAGAAGTAATGGCGACAAAATGGCGGCTTGTGGAACGCCGGGTTCTAACCTGACTTCTGAACTCCGCGTCTTTTCTATGTAAACTTGTAAATTCAAATTGGTTGTCACATATGATGCGTAAATGATTAAGAAACTGACTCATTAATTGGAACAGATGTTCTTCAAATATCTGACTTATACAGGGTAAATTCGAAACGGGTCGGTAATGTTCCATCTTCCGACCATCTCCTCAGTTGTGAAGTGGCGTAACTTTTGCATTCTTCATGATATTAGGAATTTTTGTTTATCATCCATGAAACTATTGAGCACGTTCATAAGGACGTTTTTAATGCAGTCAAAATTTCGACGTGGATCACTCACTTTATATTATCAGCCCCAGGTGATTGTTTAGCCTTAAAACTAAACGCTATACTCCTCAGATCATCCTCTGTTAATTTAGGAAGGAAAGCTGAATCCATGTTTAAACTTACTGAGCTAATTGACAAGGTAACGTTGCCCGGCATAAAGCCTGACGACTTCGTAAATAATGTGTTAAACCTATCGGCAAGTGAAAATGTGATTGTACCAAATATCGTTTCTAACGTCTCATCTACCGAATTCGTAACCTTACGTCCACGAAGTTGGTTAAGTGAAGATCAAGTTTCTGCAACATTAAATCTCGTCGAACGGATCTAACATTGGAAGTAATATTTCTTGGCTGCCTGAACCAGCGCATCTGCGTGATTACGCGCGCAGCAAAATACGGTTTCTTTTTTTAAGTTTTTGTTGTTTGTTAATAACGATATTTTTACTACGTACTTAGAAGGCTCATCTCTATGACCTTCTTGGTCGCCGAGAGGTCGTCTAATAAGAATCCTTATAATTTCGCGACCATGTTTCGTTCTTCTTTTTCTGTGCATAAAATATGTAGGTTTAAGGAAAATAAAAACACTAAAACCCACTATAAATTTTTGCGCACAATATTGCCGGTCTTTTAGCCTATTCTCTCACTAATGCACACCAGTTTGTTTGCAAACGTGTATTCGTACGTAGAAGTCGCGGCGTCAATGCTCAACAGCACTTACAGCTGAAATATTTGTACTTGAGCGCCCAGGCGCTCTTTCCTTGTTCGCCCCTCATTAGTGCAGCACGAATAAAATTTAAAAAAAAATATTGGCTGAAGAGACGCGAACTATCCACAGCCAGTGGCAATAGAGAGTTTTAGGTAATCGATTTTGCACATCTGATACGGAACGATGGGCCCTCTGGTACGAACTGCGCATGCTCTACTGCAGAAAGACTCGCGCATGCGCAGTGCGTACCGGAGGGCTCATCGTACCATATCAGTGAGCAAACATGGTTCCCTGAAATTCTCTAATACTGATAACGACCTACTGTTAAAGTTGAAGTTATCCTTCTCCTCCTTCATCTTCTTGAGGTAACCGTCGATGAAGTCTCTGTTAAAACCCGGGTTGAGCGTCTTCTCGTGCTCCTTCGCTTGCTGCCTTTTCGGTGGAAAAAATAACAGCATAAGACATTTTTGGTTTCTTTTCGTTTTTGATGAATTTATCATTTAGTCCTCTCTCCTGAAAAAAAGAAAGACATTTTTATCTTGTCGGTCGACGTCCTTTGCCGAGATATAGATCTCGTCTATCTAGCATTTCGTCTTTTGCGAAACGCACAGCCCGTTTGGTGAAATAATGAAATTATACGTGAACGAAAGAGATACCGGAAAGGAAAGCCCAGATGACAGAGTTTCATTTTGTGTTTTTCTTTCTTGTATGCAGCGGCGTCGCCGTCGTCGTCGCCGCCGTCGGCGTAACCGCCGGACGTCACACGTGACGTTAGGAGGGTCCCGAGTGATGTCACGATGGTCGCGAGGCTCGCGAGGGACGTCACGGGGGTCACGAGTGTCACGAGTGACGTCACATTGGTAACGAGGGTGGCGAGCGACGTCACGTGTGACGTCACGAGGGTCACCAGTGACGTCACAAGGGTCACGAGTGACGTCACTCTTCACGTCATTCGTGACGTCACACGGGCATACTCTCCCCTCCCCTCCTCCTCCTCAAGAGCTGCGCTCTAATTCGCCATTACAGAGCATTGTAAACGTCTCCCTTTTTCTTTTTTTTTTGTTCGCGTATAATTATTCACTTACACACTTAATCTTCCTGCTAACAACTAGAGCAAGTTCGAACATGTTCGTGAGAGAGCTGAGTACTTGTGTCGCGCAAAAACCTCTAGACTGCATCATGAACCAACTAGGCCAACAACAAGTTTGAATTGAGTACATGCCATACATGAATATTCTTATGATCAGTTGCAAGAATTCTACCACACTGCCTAGCTTTACTCTTGCCGGAGCAAACTCTGCAGCCACTAGCCCAATTCTGTCTTGTGTTCAGTCGGAAGCAGAAAATAACAACAAAAAGAAAAGACACGCCTTTGACGGCGTGATTTCATTACAGCATCACTTCACAGTGGCACCCAAGATCACTAGGTAACAGTCATTGATGCTGGAAGACTGTAGTCACTAAAATAGGTTCCAGCTTACTGCCACCTACTGGACCCCGAAATGACACAAATAACTTCTTTATTTTCGGGAGCGAGTGTGCAGGGACAAGATGCCACATTGAGCTGGCCGGGGCTCTTGACCCCGACAGCAGCAGTGACTGCTGCCAAAGAACCATCAAAGAGCAACATTGAACACACATTCAAATACACAAAAATACGCTGAACAATATAAAATACGCTAAACCTTCAAACATGCTTTCCTACATTTTTCGGTAATTAACACTGTCCAGTAAAAGAGCGTGTTAGGACGAAAAAGAGAATAACCAAGTTAGGGTATTTATAGACCTTTTCCATTGCAGACGCCACCAGGCAGTGCTCCGGTTTTTGACGTACCAGCAACCTTCCGGCTCATAAAAAGAATGAACAAAGAGCACCTTGAAGGCTGCTTCACACGTTTGCAACGGTTGCGTTCGCATGCAACCGAAATGACCGTAACGACCAAAACGCCGCAGCAAGCGTGACGACTTATGGATTGCTTCGCGGAGCCATCCGTTGCATCGCTTGCCACGCTGTGTAGTGTGAACACTTGTCCCGATGACTTTGTCTTTACGGTCGTTTCCGTTGTATGCAAGCGCAACCAACGCAGATCTGTGAACCAGTCTTAACACCGCTACTTGAAACGTCGACGAACCATTTGACCACCAGTTCTCCTGGCGAACGAACCAAGAAGCGCGAGATCTGTTGAAACTTTTCGAATATTCTCGTAAACCAGCTGGTCTTATTCTTCTATGCGTTATATCGAGCACAGCCGAAGGCCCTCGCTAAAATTTCAGCTTTGTTTTCCGTGTAGAATTTACGCTTCCCAGCACTGGTGACATGGGCAAGCTCGGCAGGCTTGCAAAGACGGAGCTTGCAAAGACCGGAAGTCGCTTGGGACGGAAACAGCGGTTTGTGTTTGTCGAGAGTGAAAAGGTTTATAGTTGGGGCTTCCTTACAATATCTGTAAAGACTCTCTGGCGTAGCAAATCATTCTGCGCTATTCGAAAGTTACGTTTAGTGAATTCATGCACGTATCTTATACAACATGTAGGCAAAAGCTATATTTTCGTACATCGTGGCCTTTGAGGTGTGAAAAGGTTCTCCATACAACCACTCACATCTTAAGAAACGCATGATGTGGCGTGTCCTCAGCACCTTGTTATGGCCGCACATTCAGCGACATATCGCTGCATCGGCCCAATATGAGCCCCGAAAAACAAATCACGTAGCGAGAAGCGTTGTCATTTCATTCCTCGCGCTGCGTTTATACATTTTTGTTTTTAAGTTAACCCGCAGCACCCCGAGGGCAGTATTGCAGGAAGTGACAAATATCTTTGTACAAATGTTCACAAATATGCACACCAATATACTGGCGATTCGTGATATGGATAAGTTTAATCCAAATTCAATCAAATAATTATCAAAAGAAAATGCATAACATGAAGAGAAAAAAAACTTCTTAATCTTTCATTTACTATGCGGAGATAGTGTCTCCGGCTCCTCGGAACAAAAGAAGGGGGCATGCCAATCAACGGGAAACGTACAGAGCGTGTGATGACGAGCAAGCAAGGTGCGTGCTGTCACTGTCTAAGATCTAGGAAAAACAAAAGCATCTGGACGTATATGAACGGTAAACAAACGTAAGAGGTGCGTAATGAGCCAACGAAATCGCACGCCGTGTAGTCACGAAATTGCAATGATCAGTGTTTTACAGCGGAGCTGTATGGGACTCTTTGGTCGGGCTTTTTCCTGTCCGTCGACAGAATAGTCGACAGCAAACCATCGCGTGCGCGTTATCAGCAATTGCGCGCGCCTTACCATTTATCGTGTGGTTTAGATACTTGTTTCAATAAGAAGACCGCAAAACAAGTGTCGAAACCGCATGATATTAGATAAGGCGCGCGCAAACAATGCGAAGCCCGTAGCGCCCCCTGGATACGTTACGCGGTAAAGATTGCGGTTGCATAGGATGCCGCGGCAACGGCACAGTGCAAAGTGATGACTGACGTCACTGGCCCCGCTAACAATGCAAAGCATGTAGCGCTCCCCGCATGCGTTTCGCGGTAAAGATTCCAGTAGCATAAGCTGTCGCGGCAGCGTACGAAGTCTTTTATATATGAAAAAGTTTTGGTACAGTCCATTTACTTTTCTTTCGTCAATCATTTGGTACAGACCCTTTTGTTGTTTACAAACAACAACAGTCGCTTGCGCCCCAAGCGACCTCCGGTCGCACCGTCTTTGCGAGCCTGTCGAGCTTGCTTATGTCAACAGTGCTAGAAAGCATGAATACTACACGAACAACAAAGTTGGACATTTAACGAGGGGCTTCGGCTGTATAATTGTATATCTTGGAGGAGGCAAGTTGGTTTACACGAATACTCGAAACATGTCAACAGATCGCGCACTCCTTCGTTGTTTTGGCATTTACCTGGAGAACTGGTGGTTAAACGTTTCATCTACATTTGAAGCAACGGTGTTAAGGTGGCCTTTGGTCATTCGTTTTAGAAAGCGGTAGTTTTCTGGGACGCCAAAGACTGCAGAGCACCACCTAGTGGCGTTTTTCATAAAAGCGATCTATGCTGCAATGGGCAATTGTTGCAGGTGACACCACCAGCTTTGCTTCCCAACCATCCTCACAACGTAGCTTAAGACCCCTATATTTTTAGTAGAGCAGTAGAGCAGGCAGTGAAGCAGTAGAGCAGGCAGTGAAGCAGTAGAGCAGGCACACGACTGCTGCTATCATCGCTGAGCACGGCTGGAAGGTGTTTTCAGTTGCCGCCATCTATAACGCGATCTTTTTACGTTCGATAACACTAGGCGTATTGTGATCTTCGATAGCGCAAAGGCAGCCAAAGAGCGACGAAAATCAGCGAGCGCGCGATGGAGGCCCGGCATTGCAAAAGATTCCCCTTCTTGCCCAACCAAAAGACTTGTTATACCGAATTGAAAGGGCAGGAAGCCAACCTTGTTTCGCATTACCTGATAAAGTCCATCAGTTCATCCGAAATGACTTTAACGTGATTAGCTTTGGTGTGCGGCAACATGGCGACGACTTTGTTGGCCCAGACTGGCAGGAAGGCGAAGAAGGACCCGGAAAAGAGGAGCTTGAGGATGCTGTCCAGGTGGACGTCGAGGAACTTTCGCCTCGGGTCTTCAAAGTTGTATCGCCTTCCAAACAGTAGCGAGCACAGGTTGTTGGATATGCTCGGTATCAGGTAGTCTTCGATGCCAAAGGCGGAACCCTTTTTTGCGTCGATTTTTTCACACAAGTACAACGCCTCTTCCTGCATGTAGAAACGAAAAAAATTATTTCCTTTTCATTTAAGGGTAACATCCTACTCAAAGGAAAAGGACTTGGCATGCCCCTACGTACGACCATGGCATTCAGAGATATATCAAATTTCCTAACTCTACAAGCCGAAATTACATAAAATTCTTAACTGTCATTTTTGTGTTCTCGGCGCTCCGAGCAAGTAGATCTCATTAAAACCTTTCTCTGACATACCCGTACACGCTCCTCGATGTCTCTTTTACCGTATCCCACGTCCCGCAGTACATGCATGCAGAACCGGCGGTTCTCCTCCCATTCTTGGCCATTGAGGTTCGCGACACCTGCGACCAAATTGAATGAACCGGGTAAACAGATCAACGGAGGGATGCATACGCTCGAACCATACAAATTGTGTGGCAGCTTGCGCCACCTAGCCCGCGTTTCCTTCGCCTGAAGACGGGACCAAGCGGTGGGCGTACGAACTAACTTCGGTGGGAATATTCGCTCGTTCGTTCGCAAAAACTTCGTCATGCGCAGGCAATCCTCCGAGAGGACATCACCAGCTACTTTTGGCTGCGCCGCCACTGCCGCGTCGCACCGCCGAGCGGCGTAACCATAGCAACAGTCGCAGTCGCTAGGACGGACTAGCCTTGACCAAAGTTTTATTTCATCAGCGCAGTATGGTCTTGTTATTTGGGTTGCCACTACCGTGGGAACCTTATGCCTCTATCTTACCCCTTAGTCAGGAAATAAATCAGATCAGGTAATGATGATAATGCAATTAATGCAAAGGTGCAAGCGAGCTGGACAAGAATGACGAAAATAATTCCTGGAGAAGGGAAACAAGGAAGACAGAGAACAAACACGAATCTCCAAACACAGCTGGGTGACGGCGTGCGACCGAAAAAATCCGTTTGGTCCTAATATCGAACCAGGAACCTCTTAATTTCCAGTGGAGCGCTCTACCAACTGAGCTAACCCGGACTTAGACGTCGGTAGAGCAACCGGGTTTTATCAGCTGCTATACCAGTCTAGCACCGGCATGGGCGAACGGCCTGCCTTGTGAGGTGATGATGATAATGAAGTTAATGCGAAGGTGCAAGCGAGCTCGACAAGACTGATAAAAAAAAAACGCAATGCGTCGCTTAGTTACTATAAAGGGAAAGGGGTATTATTTTAGCTGTCATATATTGTGTGGTCGATATTGACAAAAAAGTTTAATACGTACCACGGCCATTTAGAAGTGCGACAATCCAGCTTTCTGCTCGGTAAAGAATTTCTTTCTGGCTTAAGAATTTTTTAATAGACTCGAAGTCGTTCAGAACGACCACGTTGGCGATCCCAGCGTCTATTCTGAAAGTAACACGAGCGGATATTGTTTTGAAGATCAATACAAAGGGGCAAAGACCTTTCCGAGTAACTCAAGTTCTCAAATTTCCACGGGACAATGCGGCCCATTTCCCGTAGCTGACAGCATTGAGTTCGGTGTATTTTTTAATTTCGTCGGGCTCGATTTTCCCATTGAAGTTGTGAAAAAATCCCATAACTTTCATATAAGAGAGTGGAAATCACGTAGATAGTCCTAGTAAAGGATATTGTTAAATATGTCGTTACTAGTGAACATATATAAAAAGAAACATTCGCAGATGTTGCCTTAAAAAAAGACTTGCGCTCTTTAAGGAGACAACGTATTTAATTTTACCTCCACATAGACATACTGTTATTTTGTTTGTTTTTGTGATACCTAACACATTTTCGAAGGTTAATAATGTTTAGGCAGACGTGTGGATATATATATATATATATATATAGAGAGAGAGAGAGAGAGAGAGAGAGAAAGAGAAAGAGAGATTTATATCATTGCGTGTCCATGAATTAATTTATTTCAATAAGGGTCCGGTACAATAAGCGACAGTATACCATCCAGACTGCTTTGTTTGTACAGTTCATGAAAGTACGTTGTGGTGTATATAGTATATCTCTTCTTTAGAAAGCAATTAATACATGGAACGTTTCGATTACCCCTTTTGAATAAATGGGTACATCCTCTTTCAAAACTCCGAGTTGAAACCTCGGTAGCCTTTACAGAAATTGTTGTCACTTCGTCCCGTCCATCAGTCATAACTTTCTAAAACAGAAGCACGTGCACTGTCCGGTAATTTCCCCGACTGCAACTGTAAATAGTCTGGAGAATTTCCTACATAATAAAGGTGATGAAAGAAGTTCGCCAAAACGCCCGAAACACCACGTTTGTAAAAATGTGCGTCACGAAGAAACACACCTGCCATTTCAGAAACTTGTACATTCCTGTGTAATGACTGGCGCCGTAAAAGTGGATAATATTAATATTATTAATAATAATAATAATAATAATTATCGTTATTATTATTATTATTATTATTACTATTATTAGCGCAACTTCAGGTACTCTGAGTGGCTCGCAAGTATAGGCAGATAGGCTGCCTAAGTTGTGCTACTTTCATGATAGTAAGTACTGTTAGGTGCATTAGTAGAGCGTAAAAGAATACTGAAAAGTACAGCGGCCGCTTTAATAGAAAAGGTTCCTCTAAATCTCTCCCTCAACCTCGCTTTGTTTTTGTTTGTTTTATTATTTAGAACTTGTGAGTGGAACCATGGTGGTGGAAGGCTTACCTCAGCACCGGCCCGTACTTCTTCGCCCACTGCGCGCATCTGTCGTACTGGAGACTACTTTGCAGAAAGGGCAAGTGACCCAAGATTGGCAGCCCCTTTGGCCCCGGAGGCAGCTTCAGTCCCCGAAATTTCGTGCTTCTAAACCAGCTCAGGAGCACGACAGCCGCAACAACCCCAGAGGCTACAACCAGGGCGAGAGGTGTGGGATCTTCCATTTCGGCGGCGTTGTCTCAAGACTGGGAGCTTGCTACAACAGGTACCAAAATATGAAAACGAAAATGGAACGATGATGGGAGAGGGCAACTTTCCGTCTTGTTAACTTCTTGTTTATTGAAACAATTAGATTCGCTACAGCGGCTTGTTGCCAGTGATGTATGATGAGGGCGAAGACTCGGCAGTTGGTCAAGGTCTTGGCACGGTTTCACAGTTCTTTCTTCTTTCTCTGTGACGTCAGGATATGAGGCAACCGACGCCTCGGATAAACATGATGTGAAGAAATCGCGCGTTTATTTGCTTCCGTAGCAACAAACTATTACTTGTGTTTAAGAAGAAGCGGGTTATTCTCTAGGTACTGGTTACATTGCTGAAATAAAAACAGAGCTTGATTTCGGAGAACTAGCTATGAGGGCTCGTGGTGGTAGGTATTTTCATCTATATCGATGACAACATGTACGCCACTATTTACATGATAAATAAACAAAGGTTATACGATGGTTATATTGAAAGGAGAATTGTTGCATGTTCGTTCACACAGCGGGGGGTTAGTCAGCCCAAATGGGCGTCCGGCGATTGCGCTGCAGATGAGAAAATTAGCCAGTGAAGTACCACTGCTAGCGTGGGACCTCTAACGTGCATCATACAGTAGTGATACATCAAAGCACGCTGCTGAGGTGCTCATCCAGATCGAAGCGGGCAGTGTATTTCCGATTGCCTAAACGCCCCACGCGGCGAGGGAAAAAGAAAGAGGGAAAAGAGGACGCCCTAGCAACGATAAACACCCTAGCAACGGCGCCCACGCCGGATTGACTGCTCGCCAACGCGCGGAAACTTGAATTCCGGATTTGGAGGGCGCGTGTACCACTGGTTAGCTCGTTAACCAGCCCCTCCCCCCCCTCCGGCCTGCGTTCACGCCGCCTCGTGGCGACAGTATGCGGTTGCTAATTATAAAACTATTATTAACTTGCCCCTCGCCCCCCGTTCCCCCCCCCTCCCCCCCCCCCCCCCCCCCCCCCCGTACAAGCCGGCAACTCAAGCACCGCTGTCCCCCTTGCACTTCCAGAAAGGGGGTCCCATACCCTTTAGTTCAGTGAAGTTTCGTCGACAACATTCGTTTTTTTTTTTTCAGTGTTAATCGTAAAAAAGAAATGTCGTAAATATCGCCGTATGCCTTAATAAAGAAAAAAAGTTCGAGAAACAAAAAGGTAACCGCTAAGCTAGGCTACCGTTTTGAAAACTTTTTAACCGCTGCCTATGTTGACGGCGACAGCGTCTGTCTCCACGAGCCAGCCAATCCGGCGTGAGCGCCTTTGCTAGGGGCGTCTATCACTGCAAGGTGTCCTCCTCTCCCTCTTTTTTTTCCGAGCCCCGTTGGCGCAGTACCTAGAGAAGAAGGCCGTAGCGCTCTTCTCGTGACGTCGCAAAGGAAGGCCATCGGGGGCGCGCGTCAAAGCGAAGGCAACGCGCGTGAATCCACCGTCGTAACGCGCTTTTAGTCGCACACGCGTTTCTTATTAGCTCAAATGAAAGCTGCACATAGCAACGCGTTTAGAAAACATTGTATTACTTGGGAAAAATATCACACCCCTAATTACTCAGTACGAAATGGCACGAGGTATGCATACGTCTACAGAAAAATGTGATTGTTTGAAGTCAAAACATTGAGTCACGCAATTATTGCTGTAAGAGTGGCCTAGGCAGAGAAGGGCTTGGGGGGTCGAACCCCCCCCCCCTTCCCAAAATGCCAAACCTGCAGGGGGGTAGGGGGGGGGGGGACACATTGGCCTTTGCGGCCCATTCCCGGGGACACGACTTTCACCGACAACCTCGAACCACGATTATCTGCCCCGCTTCCCGGGTGAACACCCATACAGTCAACAAAAGAGGAAGGCAAGCTGTAGTCGATACCAGCCCACTTAAGGTGCTGAAAGGGAAAGACGTTCTCCTCGAGGCGTCCTAGCAGGAACCAACGGCCACGGTGGTTCCTGCTAAGCCTTAAGAGGGAGATGAGCCGTCAGAGATAACTGCCCTATTAATGGGCGTCCAAGGTCATTTCCGTTTCGGCTAAGGAGGGGGACGGTATCCTCCGGTCGAAACTGGAAGTAATTAAGTTTTTGCGCTCGTTATGTCGAGGGAGCCTTCGTGTAGACAAACGTCATTTTTATTTTGATATATGATCTCCCGTTATGAATTAAACATTTCATGACCGTATGTACGAAACTGCACCCCGCATTTTGCCAGTGTCAATGGCTGACATCCGTAGCTGCTGCGTGACGTCACAAAACGCAAAGGTTTGTCGGATGGTCGGGATAACAAGCGTTGCTCGACTGATGTCTTGTATTTTGTTTCGAATTATATAATCTCCTTGGCTGTACCCTGCTGAAATACACCTCTTTTAATGCAGTTCCCAAAGCGTGCGCAAAAATATCACGCCTTTTAGCAGGATAAACAGCCATTAGCTCCGAGCAAACGCATGCCGTTTCGCGCAAACACAACTGCGACGGCCACCAATCGAACTAAGAGCAATAGGAGCGCTTGCAAAGCAAAGGATGCAGATTTCGTCTCTGAAGCGGCAACTAGGTACACGAAGCGGCATCGGGGTACATATTTCGGCGGATTCACTGGACCGGTGATGAGTCTGCGGGTCGTCCTCTCGGAGGCGATGTCCGCGGGTCGAAGGCAAACGGCGAATCGTTCAAATGCATGTCGTCACTTGACTTGGACGAGCTTGGTGAATCGTAGCCAGGCTCTATTTTCAAATGCGGGTCAAACAGAATTTGGCTGCACGCGTGCTAAATACACCTTCTGGTATTGTTTCCAGGTTGCCTAGCTGTTGGTTTCGGTTTCGCTGCATAATCAAAAAGTGATTGATCCGATTTCTGCGAGGAGTGGATGGACGTAGTTTAATATCGTTGGCACAGTATCACACCTCAGCTTGTGAGCCTTCTCTCCGCTTAGAGCTCAGCTCGTAGCTCTCTTCTTTGAGATGATTGCTGCATAAGCGGGATCTCGATCTTGACGGGAACCCAGTCCCTACGCACGGCAATGATCAATTTTGCTCGTCACTGCACGTCTCGCGGTAAGGTGTGGAACGTCATGTCTTGGCTCGCATGTGCTGCCCGGTAGTTGTGGCACCCAACCGCGCAACAAAAATTTCACCTAACCTCGAAACAAGTCGAGCACAACAGAGGCATTCACTCGCAGGTAAGCGAAGAGACAGAAATGCTCGCTTTGTGTTGTGTGACGTCAGAGCTCCAATGTGGCCACCGAAAGCTGCGCTTACGCTAGAGTGCGATTGGAACAGTATAAATTCAATTACTCATGCAGAGGGGCATATAAAATTCAGATATTGTACGTACGATGCATCTTGAGGCAATAACAACGATATTCAATTGTTTTCTCGAATACAAAATTTGACCGCACAATCCCTTTAACCTGTTTGTGTGTTTGTGCGTGCTCTCGGGCGGGGCCAGACCATTTGGCGAACGGCGTCCTGGCCTAGGGACGCAGGAAGAGGGGACCTTATAGAAAGAACGGTTTTACGCGTTCTCTTCGTGTTCTCATGTTGCTCTCATGTCGAACGGCAGACTGTACATAAAATGTAAATAAACAGTCTGAGAAGAGACACCGTGGCTCGCTTCCAACTCTTCCCGATGTCCTGGGCAACGCATGGCTCCAGCGGAGATCGACTACGTGGACAAGCCCTGAGTCTTGACAACACGCCGTCGGTTTTGCACGGGGCATGGAGCAAAGGGGGAGCGCGGACTATCTCCAACTTATATGCTTTCGGTAAGAGTGTTTGTGGGGTAGAAAATGCTCATATAAATAAAATGGACAATATTCCTTCATTCATGTTTATTTAATGCGATTCGGAATTTGAATCTCAGATATATAAAGAACGGATATTTCGAAACACTTGTGGGGTTAAGGGGGGGGGGGCAATTTAAAGGCCAAGTATAACAAACTATCTTCTCTCAAATACACAGCTCAATCAAACCAGAGTCAACATAATAAAACAAACACATGGTGATAGTATAAAACAATGTCAGTGATGTAAGTAATATTCAATGAATTGTAAAAACAACTGCACTGTAAGCGACGGGGGGCGCTGCGCTCACGCACACCTTGAGTACAGTACTGATCAGAATTACGTGCTTTCGACTAAAATTAATAATAAACAGTTTATTTACATCGTACGTTGATGGTGGAAATCAAGGAAAAAAGCTGTATATGGTACAGCTTGACAACTCCATGACAAGTTGACGAAAAAAAAAAACATTCACAAACCTTGATTGCCACAATTTAACAAAGCGTGTTTCGGACATAATATATTTTATCCTCGGCTATAGCAGGAGTGACCTATGTACAGACAGAAGTTATGAGGCCCCAAAAGTTTAGTTATCTTCAAGTAGGTTAAGTATTTTTTGGGATAGTATGGTTAAGCATTTGTGTGTCATAGTTCGTTCTTGCAGATACCACCTCCCAACATTTGCACGACGGGTAGAACATCCGTGAATATTTTCAGAGAGCTGTCCAAGGTTTACCAAAACGTTTGTACCCCTAATTTGTTCAAGTTTTAGGTTAGTGACAAGTCTATAGCTAAACAGAGCATGCATATTGATAACGCGAAACTTCTTAAATAAAAAGGCTGTGTGAAAATCAAATGAAACGTCTTCTTTAGCCCTTAACGCTTCTTTTTACAACAAGTGTATTTTTTCTAGCTTTGTTGACGTTGTTGTACTATCGGGGAAAAATGAAATGCGAACGGAGGAGAGCGTAGCTCGCGGTACAGGCTGCGCCGCCTGGAAGTGAGCCGAGGGGCGAGGGTGCGTGACCTACTTTGATGTGTTCACGCCCCTCGATTGCCGCTCCCCCAGCTTCGGCAGTGCGCCTCTCAGTGCGCTGAAAGCTGTCACTGCTATCTTTGCCTGCTTGGCGAGTGCGGCGAGCTTCTTTGCACCGCACGCGCTGAGCCAGCAAAGATAGCGGTGATAGCTTT